TAAGTGATCTAGAAAACTGACCCTGAAGAGGTCTCCCATGCCTCCAGTACATCTCAGTGACTTTCTCATAAGCCAAGTGCAACTGAGGTCCATAAAGCAGCTAAGCAGCATAAAAGAGACGTTCAGCAGATTCTCCCTGCTTTTCTCTCAGTTGAGAGGAGTTATTCTGTCTTGGCTTGCAGGGAAAAGAGAATAGGTCAATTGGCAAAGCCAGTGTTGCTCAACTCATGTTCAAAGTTTTAAAAAATAGGCTCCATAGAAAATGGGTCCAGGAACAGGCTTTATATGCTAGAAAGCAGGTAAGTATAAGAACTGTTGAGCTTGCGAACTACTGGGAACTATAAATGGACAGAAACTACTTAAAGGGAGCAAGGGGACTAGTATTCACAGGAAAGGGAGGGAAGCCCCTCTCAAGAGACTAGAATTAAAGAACAAAGATGGAACCTTGCAAGGGACTTGCAGAGTTAACAGAAGAACTTGAACATACCTACTAGCAACATAAGGTCACAAGTAGAGAACTTTGGGTTGGTTATAACATTAAAAAACCCACTAAAATACAATGCATATCCAGACTATAACTAAAAAGCAGTCTAAGTATTTTTTAATATGCCGAGGTAATCCACAGTGGCATCTTAAACAGAGTTACACCTTTCTAAGTCTACAGGCTTAAGAAGGGATAACTCTGCTTAGGGTGGCATTTCCACTCCCTACAAGTCCCCCATTTTCAGAGAGATGTTGTCAAGGTTTGCTACCCTGCCATTCTGTCAACTAAAAGTTATTTCAAGCTTACCTTGTTCTTAAAATATTGCCTGGCATAGCTCTTTACTTGAAGAACATTACGACTGCTAATCATCATGGCAATTTTTGTCCACCTTCTGCCAAACTTAGCCTAATAGAAATGAAATAAAATTTCAGCCCTGTATCCAGACCAACAGTCTTATCAGAGAAGGGTTTGCATTTCTTCAAAATATAATGTGAGACCAAGTTTGTTTAGCATGTGTCCTCTTCTTTCTGTTTTTCTCAGGACACAACTACACTACACAAATCATCCTGTTTCATAGTTATTCCTCCACTATAGGGAATCCTGGGAAATGTACTGGGGGACAGGAAAATATACCTGACAGAATTTATATTCATTTACTAACCATTCTTCTACTAGAACAGTGATCAAAGCTCAAAGTCTTAGCCACTGTACCAACTACGATAATCAAAACTGAGTTGCAGGGAGCCATGACTGTGAAATTAGTACAAAACTGTCAAGTACACAGGTATTCTCTTCCCACCCCATTATTGTTCTATATTTTTAAACCAAGTGTTATGTTGGGGCAACCCATCCTAACTTTATTACAGTTGTGGGTCCTGACCCATTAGTTGAAGACCAATTGTTTAAACAAATATATTATTATATTCAAGTTTTTAACTAAAGGGGATACAAGCCTCCATTTATACCACAACTAAAATAACTCACTTCCGGAAGCCTCATCATCCTCTGCCTCCTCCCTGTGCAACTTTTTACTAGGGTAAATATTCTCTGATATCAGGCTGAGACCCTTAGAGAGTGAAAAAGCGTTTCACTTAGAACTCCTGGGAGAAAAATCCTATTGTGTAGATATGTATACAGTAAATACCATAAATAAGAATTAATTATTCATTTCTCTTCTTTGATCATTCTTTCCATATAGAACAATTTTATTATTACAGTTCAGTTATTTATTATATGTTTTCAAACAAAAAATTGTTAATGTGGCCCCATCTGAGGATACTTAAATCCAGAGACTGGAGCCATAAACAGATAAAACAGTTCTTACAATCCTGAGAAAAGTTTCACATTTTCAGAAAATCTGAAATCTTAAAAAAAAAAGGGGGGGGGGTTTAACTCCACCTCCAGTAACAGAAGCAGTTCCTGTACCTTTAAGAAAGGAGATATCATTAGCTACTGTGGTGTTTCCTGAGCAACCACAATGCTATGGCCAGACTTCAACACTTAGTTTGTAAGTAAAAGAGAGAGGGGAGGGCATGGCTCCTTTTAAGGGCTGTTTTGGCCTCCCAGTCCACCCCTCCCAGTCCTTGGAGAAAGGACTCATGGAAGCTGGGCCCAGCAACAATGACAGGGCAACTGGCTACCATGCACTTTGTACAACTCACCCAAGTGCAGCAGTGGCTACAACTTGAAGTCACACAACTCACCTGGGCCCCACAGCAGCCTCCCCAGAACTTGTACAACTTGGCTGAACCCAGCAGTGGCTACCACACATTAAAATGGACTCAGTTTGATTCTCATACATCATCCTGGGATAACAGAGGATAAGCTGCTGAGTCTAGGATTTAATCAGTGTCTGCCTCTGTGGATGTCCCAGAAGTTAGAAAAAAGGCTCTCGTCTTGCTGAGCAGATTAGATCAGGAGCTATTAATTTAGATGCCAAGAAGATGCTGTTCCCCTTTTTTTTCTGGGGCCTTTCAGCCCCTATTTTTCCTGTTTGCCACGTTGTAGTGGCTAGAGTGTCAGACAAGGATCGAGGAAACCCAGATTCAAAGCCCCACTCTATCATGGCAGCTTGCTAAGTGACCTTGGGAGAGTCACTGTCTCTCAGACTAATCTGCCACAGTAGCTCTTGTGAGGATAAAATGGAAGAGGTGGGAATGATTTTGGTAAACTGCTTGGGTCCCCACTGGAGAGAAAGGTGAAGTATAAATGAAGTAATTCATAATCAAAGCTGAAGACTGGGGTGGGGGGAGAGAAGGAAGCAGAGAAGGGTAATAGATATGGGGAGGTGGCAGGAAGAGAGAAAGAAAACAGTGCGGGGAAGGGGAAAATGAAGTGATCCCTGCAAGCCTTTTCAGGTTCCCCGCTTTTCATGCAGAATAGTCTACAATAAGGTCTTTAAATATCTTTAATAATTTAATACTATATTTACCAGTCCTTGTTCAAATAACTCCTTTTCTTCTACTGTCCACTTTAATGATACACTAGATTTTGTAGGTGAACGTACACTAAAAGAAAAAGACAGCAAATGCTCTTTAGCTACATGCAAATACCCATACAAAATGGAGCTATAAAATTTCTTTACTACAATTAACATGGATATCAAAGTACTCAGAAATGGGGCATAAACAGACTGTTTTAGACATTTGCCTTTCTGGGGGGGAAATCAAGTTCAGTGTTACTTTTGTCTACTATGTACATCTATTTATTTACTTATTGTTCACACATTGCCACTTCTTTCATAGTTGGCAGTTATTCGAAAGAAAACAGAGGTACAGACAGTGAGCTAATAGCAGTAATTCAGTTGTTGCTTGGGGTGATTCTAAAGTCATTCAATACAGTTAGAGAGCAAGAAATTTTAATTTATAGTAATGACAAATTGTACTTGCCAAGGCAATTTTGCACAAGAATTATCAGAAAACTACCCAAATTCTAAAGTATGAAGATAGCTACGAGCGCTTTCAAAATTCTGTAGTATGAAAATCATTATCAATACAGCCTTACAAGTACATACGTGATTTTTCCATCTCTCTTGTGAGGACTGTAAAGTACAAAAAAACCCACACAAATTCAAGTTCTCTTATGACCACCTGTGCCTTTTAAAATACATACTTCCCATTTTAAAACATTCAAAATTATAGCAAAATGTGATTCGCATCCTCCACATAGCACATTACCTTTTAGTGCACTTTTTATCACTTTCCTTCAAATCATGCCAAAGCCTTTCTGAAGGTGATTTACTAGACAAATAGTATCTGAAAATTATTAAGGACAGTAAGTTGCATACAATGTCCCCCCCCCTAAATAATAATTTGTTATACTAAGAAAATCTAACACAGTAATATAATGTTATCTCTGCATGAGAAGAAGCAGGCTTCAGCATACGGATTAACCATAACACAATGGCAAAGCTTTCAGAAGTTTATGTAACCACATGCATGTGGCTTTTGCCGATCTCCCTCTTCACATTATATTCAACATTTTTGACTAAAGGTAAGGTAATTTTCTCCTCATTCCTATGTCTTGGGCAATGCAAACAACCATTTTCATTTACTAAAGGAAGAGATCTTGCTTTAATAGACCAGTAATGCAATCACAAAAATGAGAAAAAGTTTCAGCAATTTACTGACCTATTTCCATTTCCGTAATGGTAACATCATTTTTTTCAGGATTCAATCTCTTATGAAAATCAGTAGCTCTTTTGAGGCCCTGAACACTTTCTGCCAGATTTAACATTAGCAAAGTTATAGTACACAGATGCTGCTCTCCAATAAAGGAAGTTTTTTTTTTAAAAAAAAATCCCACTTTAAAAAAATTTGGATTTGGATTAAACCAACAGAAAAACAGAGTTTTACCTACAACTTATGCAGTATTAATACTCCGTTACTTGTTTTAAAAATTCAACAATGAAACTGCAAAAAAGATAAACAGATTTTCTATATAATCAGTACCTGAAACCATACTTGGGAGAGTCATATGCAGTGCCAGCAGAAGATCCTGGTGGAGGCAGACCTTCCCCAAGCAGCTGCTTCTAAGCATCAAAACAACAGTGCTGGGGTTTGAGGACCTGCACCGGTGAATGGCCATGCAAAATGGACAGCTTCAACTAAGAGGCAGAAGAAGCAATCAAAATAATCACTTCTCTTGTGTTAGTTGAGCACCTACCGTCAGTGGAAAGGATGCCATGAGCTAACGAAATTATTTCTTCCCTAACACTGGACTTTCAGATTTTAAGGCACTGTGCTTTCAGAAATATGACTCACTCACATTCTCTGTCTGTGAGTGACTGCCAGGGGAAAATCTCTCGATCACCAATGGTGATCAACTGACATGTTAACTACAAGTCTGCACTATAGATCTGTTTCTTACTAGGGCTGAAAATCATATTTTGTCAAATGGACAACTAAAGGATACTCTTCTTCCAGCAACATCTTCTCAATGGCAGCCTTGTTCTCTTCACTAATGGTGCTATCTAGACTCCAAGGCTAAAAAAAAATGTTTTATTATATAATGATTTACAAAACCCATGTTTTTGTACAACAATCCTTACATCAACTCTGTAGAACTAGAATAATATTATTCATATTTTTGAATGGCAAAAATGAAATGACGGAGCAGCATTTTTTTCAGTGAATCAGAAATTTCATGGCTGAACTGGGATTTGTAAGATTGACAAATCAGTAAATAGGATCCCCCTGAAAACCTTACTGTTCTTAAAAGCGGTAAGTGGTAAAGGAACACTAGAAATGTCCAGAACACCAGCTTACATTTATACTTGCTATAATTTGCAGGGAAAGTAGTAACAACAACTGCAGAGCAGAAGTTCCTCGTACATGGACATATGAAGCTTGCATGCAGAGAAGTGCATAAAAGCCTGTTTCATGCAGCTAGCTATGTGCTCATATTTAAAGGCTTTGCCACTTGTGTGTAGGACTCCATAGGTGCTTTTTTTAAAAAAAACAAACCCCTATAGCAGTCTAGATGTATTTTAACTGGCCAAGGCAGGAAAACATAATTAAGAAAATGTTTCCAAGACAGAGAGAGGTTCTCATAACTTATTTAATAGCTGACTTACAAGATCAGCATCAGCTCTCCAAGTTGAGTCAAGGTAGTGATCTTGGAGTAAACTAGATGATGGATTATCATAGCTTCTGAAATAAAAACATAACCTCATGTTAAACACACGTTTTAAGAACACAGATTCTTATAGAAACTGCATTTGTACCTCTACAGAACTAAGCGTCAAAACTATAAGCACCAAGAGAATTATGCCAGTTTTCACAACACTTTATAAAGACAGCTTTTATAATACAGTTCAGGAAGTCAAGTTTAGAAATTAACAGCTACTACTCTCACACCCCCTTACTGTAAAGCTGGATCTACTTGACCTAGGTGAAGAATACAGAAGATATGTTTTAAAAGTCTGACAGGACTAGCATTTCTTGGGGTAGTTTGTGGTAATTAAAAAGGAATTGTTCCAAAGGACTAACTCTACAGAATACTACAGAACAGTAAGGGTCAAGTTACTACTTATTGGGACTGTGCAGAACATGGAGAATTTGCTCCACAGAGCTCAGAGGCAGTACCCAATCCATCAAATGAACAAGGAACAGCAGCTAGCCACTTAATCCAATCCTCAGCAGTCTTTTTGCTTTGAACTCAGATCACTGAACAATGGACACATTCACATGAACCAAATATTACCTACCCTTACACTTTAGGCATAAACTGTCTGTTTTCTCATGTCAAGATACTCAGCAGTTTTCTTCTGCTCTCCAGTGGAAAATAGGAAGCAGGCATTGCACATACATTATCACAAATTGCTGAAGGCCACACACCGCTATCTACTCTGCTAATTCTTCAATAACCTGTTCTGCAGTGGCTTCTGAACCTGGGTGCATTAGCAAAGTGACCACAAGTTTTCATTTTTAAGTCAGCTAAAACTGGTCCATAGGATGCCAGGCCTGAAAACTAATCTAGTAGTACTTACTGCAAAAGAGGCACAACTTAAACATTCAGCAACATTTACTATCTAGATTGGCAATGACCGAGATGGGAGCGGGGTGGTCTGAATGGGAAACTACTAACTTCAAGCTAAATATGAATTTTACAATCCTCAAGGCTGAATATAAATTTTGCAAATGTATTACAACATTTTTTTCTACAAAACAACCGCCAAAGTCTCCTTTGAAGAAGACAAAACAGGAGCACGAATTCACCGCAAACAGAAAACACACGGAGGGCCCACACCTTAGTGGAAGAGTGCACGTTTGGGTGTCTCTGCTAAAGGGCATACGAGGCAAGATCTGAAGCTTGACGGGTGTGTGGACAGAGAAAAGTAAGGGGGGGGGTTTTGTCACAGAAAACCTCTTCCGCTGGCGTCCACTGCCAAAGGCGGACACGCCAGAACCACGGGTCCCCCTAGAGCCCACCTTCGGTGAACGGCTAAATGAAGCCAGGTCCTACCAAAGACCCCTCCCCAGCACATGGAACCGACCGACGCAGCAGCCTTCCTCTCTCAGGCCTCTTCCCTCCCATCTTACCCCGACCGCGCCTCTCCAACGGCCGTTGCATCGCCTTCAACATCGACATCTGCCTCCTCGACAGCCTCCATACCGGACTCTTCCCCAGCCCTCGCGAGAAGGAAACAGGAAACGGGGGTGAAAGGTCTGGTGCTGTCACGTGCCGTCAACTTCAACGGCGTCACTGCAATGCGGGGGGGCGCGGGGGCATGAGACAGCCAAACTTGCGTCGCGCGCTTCGTGCCCTTTCCCTTGGTTTCCGTAGCTGATGTCTGTGCCGGGGGAGTGGAGGCAGAGTAGCGGCCACGTAGAAAACAGAACAGAGGTATTATTCCTAGCGCTAAATGCTAGATGAAAGACTAGGAAAACAGGAACAAAAAACCGGGGGTTGGGGTGGGGGCAGATCGATGGTTTATTTTACTGGGGAAAAGTCCCCGTGGCCTGCTGCATTGAGCCTCGTCTACCCTCATGGTGGGGTCGGCAAGGACTGACTACAATGGTGCTTGGTTTCACCTAGGGATGCCAGCTTCGAGGTGATCCCCTGGAATTACAGCTCATCTGCAGAGTGCAGAGATCAGTTCCCTTGGTGTAAATGGATGCTTTGGAGGATGGACTCAATGGCATTGTACCCCACTGACGTCCCTGTCCTCTTCAGGGTCCCTCCCCAAATCTCCAGGAGTTTCCCAACCTGGATCTAGCAACGCTACCCCCCCCCATCCCGGGGACACCTGGCAACCCTAGTTTTACCCTAGTGGCCTAGCCATGGTGTGGCTAACCTGGCAGTGTCCAGCTTTTCCCTGTAAGAAGGAGCAGAGGTACACTGGTAGCCCACTTTGCAGGGCAGCTCCGCCTTTTCAGCTGACTGTGTGGTTCTCCATCAGGTGAGGGAATTGTGGCCTATTCCCATTTTCCCTGTAAGAAGGAGCAGAGGTACACCGGTAGCCCACTTTTCAAGGCAGCTCCGCCTTTTCAGCTGGCTGTGTGGTTCTCGATCAGGTGAGGGAATTGTGGCCTATTCCCCTTCCTATTTTGGCCTTAATCTAATCCTGGAGTTGAATGGTATAGAATGAGATTCTCTGGTAAAGCCCATGCTATTTAGTTTTTCTATACAGATCTTGGAATATCAGTTAATATTAACTGAATGTTTAGGAAATGGGAAATAAAGCCAAGGTTTTGTCTTCATGGCAAACATTAGTGGACTTGTGGTGAAGTGACAAATCAGAAAATAAGACTGTGACTGGGTGGCAGTCCTATAAGAGTTCTTAAAGAACTCACATGGAAATAGCTGATCACTTAACATGAATGTAATTAAAATCACATTTCTTAGCAAAGGATTGGAGAGTAGCTAATGTAATGGATTTTGGTGTGAGAAGGGTTAGGAGGTCTGCTGATTAAGCGGAGCATCCTTTAGGGTCTTCAGGTATTTTGAAGGTAGGCAGGGTTTGGGTGCTGTTCCTATCAAAAACAATTCAAAGCCTAGCTGCTGTGTGTTATAAGGATTTGGGTGCTGTTTTTGTAAATAAAAAAGCCTTTCTGCTCCACATTGTAATCCTGTATCAGTCAAACAAGAAATCTGCTTTGTAATTTTTGTGCTTTCTCAGGTCCCAGCTCTCTAGTAACTTTGTTACTCTAATGCTAGGAGGGCTGGAGAAATGGAAAACACAGAAACAACCAAGCCACATAGCTGTTTTCATTAAGCCTATTGTGTGGTTCCTTCAAGCCTATAATTCACACATAATAAGCCAAGGGAATGCTGGGTGGCACCTTGAGCCCAAGTATTGTCCTCATTGAGGACTAGGAGATGACGTGGTCCCAAAAGTCTCAGTTACAAAAATTATAGGGGGAAAAGTTTGTAGGTTGTGAAATTGAAATCCCTAGTTTCTAGTTCTTGTCAGAGGTGAACATCAAGTAAAGTTACTGTATAGAAGCAACCTAGTTTGTACATAGGGTTAATCTAATAGCTATTAAGTATTTGGGCTACCCAAAAAATTTCAGTGAAGACTCTCACCAAAGTTAATGGGGAATCCATTGGGGATAAGAGGACAGATTCTCTTCCAAGAAGCTAATTGATTGACAGGAAACATTGGCTGAAATAAATGATGATTTGTGAATCAGGGATCCCGCAAGAATTTATACAGGTTTATTTATTAGATTTTTTAGGCATCGCTCACCCAAAGGGTCTTATGGTGACTTACATTAAAACCATATAAGTAAGTCAAAAACATAAAAGCAGATAACAAATATAAAATATTAACATTAAAATGTTAAAACTGTTAAAATATGTGGCTAGCGCCATACCACTAACAAAACCCAAACATGTGGATTACACTCCAAAGGCCAACCTAAATAATTTGACCTTGCATGCCCTGTGGAAACTAAACAAGTCTGGCAGGATTTTTTTATAGGTTATGTGAAGTTGAGGTGAGCAATCACATAACCTAAGTTTGCAGTTGATAATTTATTATCACTGTTGTTGTTTACAACATATATATACTGCCTCTTCAGAGACCTGCTCAAGGAAACTCACAAAATTAAAAAAACACCATCAAGACATAAACTTATTAAAATTAACAACTATTAAAAAACAGCCAATGAACCCCAGAAATGTACACTTACATAAAAACGCATAACTTACGTCATTTGGCAGCTTAAATGATCCTCAAGCTGGAAGCAGAAAGTAAACAAAAGATCAATCTCCTAGTTAAAAGCTTGGGTAAGAATTTTTCCCTGCTGCCTAAAAGAGAGGAGGGTAGATCTCTGGAGAACCTCCAAGGGAAGGGCATTCCACAGGCCAGGTGCCACCACTGAGAAAAGCAGGTCTATGATTGCCATCTGTCTCTGCAGGCGAGAACACACAGAGCAGAGGTCTTGCTTTTGAGGAGGATCTTCACTGAAAGGCTGGATAGTATGGGAGGAAGTGATCCTTCAAGTGCCTGGGTCCCACACTGTTTAGGGTATGATAGGTAAGAATTTGAATTGTATCCAGAAGCAGGCAGCCAGTGCACATCTAACAGCACGGAGCTGATGCAGTCACTATTCACTATGAGAAACATACAAAGTGTGTTTTAAGGAAAGGATATGTCCAGACTGGCTGAACGGACAACCAAGTAGCAAATGAGATCAACAATGGGGTCTGAAATGTTATGTCTACCCATGGAAGAGATCTTTGATATTAGGCCTATAGTTTTGCCTGATGAAGGTTCAAAATTATGATAGCCTGTACAGTAATATGTACATTTCTAAGACTACCATCCTGTCCATACTTACTTGGGAGTAAGCCAACTGAACAGTGTGATGTATTTGCAATAAGAACATACATAACGGTTGGACAGTATGGGCTAGATATTGTATTCTTTGGACGTGACACTTCTCCCCAGTCTATTCATTAAATTCATGTAAATGAAGTAATGCCTCATCAGTATAAATCAATTACAATCCTAGGCTGTGGGATAACGTCTACTTTGGATTATTGCCATTACACTTTTTCCTACTGTCCTCTTTTTAGTAATATTGTGTGTGCATTTCCTAGCTAAAAGCCATTTAATATTTCATATTTAAAATTAGTGCAGGTTGAAATCATGAAACTACTGACTTTTGGGAATGTCTTTCTGTATCAATTATAATATTGAGGAAATGTTAATCCTGAGATTGGTGTGAGGATATGTCATGCAGGTATATGCCTGTTTGGGAACCCAGTATAAGTGACTCTGAGATTTCTGGAGAAAGAAGCACATATGTGTTATAAATAATAACAAACCAGGATTATGAGACATGATAAAACACCATTTAATTTTATTAAGAGCACATCTCAAGACAGCTTCCAATTCCAACCAGTGCAATGTTTCCATTAAATAAAACACATGGAAATACTTTATGTTTAGACTATCAAATGCATTCCATTACAATTCTTGGAACCTAAACAAAGCAGTATTGATCTAGCTCAATAACACAGTGACTAGTCTTGGCTTTAGATTAACTTTGGGTTGCATCCATATGCGTATGGGAATATGTTTGATATAGAAATCCTGCCTGTATTTGGTGCTGATTTCTGCATGTCACATGAGGATACAGACACAGTCCTGAATTCAATTAGTTCTCTTTCAGTGCTGAAAATGCTAAAGTTTACAGCTTCAGCTGTTTTCAGCACATCTTCCAGAAAAAGTTGAATTATACCCTGCCCATGAATATAGTAGAGTTTAGATATAGCTATTACCTGGTCCCAATGGCAGAAATGTGTTTTTAATGGGTTCAGATCAAAAGTCTGCAGGCTTATACAAGAGGTTCAGTGACCTTTATGATGATCAAACAATTCTAAGAAAAAAAAATATCCTAAGAAGTAAATGCTAACAACAAAATTACCTTTTTGCCTCATTAGCCTGGCTGAGAACTGGGAAAACACCTGAAATTTTTAAAGTTACTCTAATAATATAAAACAAACTGTTAACATTAAATGAAACTGTTCTCCTTTTGTTTTTCTAGTAGCTCAGTGGATACTGGAAGATGCTATGGACTTGCCTAAGCATCTTCCAGGGCTGCTATTTTTTAATTTGGGGTGCCCTTCCATGCTCTTCATCACTTACTGTGTCCCCTCTATTAATGATTCTCAGCTGAATGTGTAAACTGTCACCATTGCAAAATATTCATTAGAAGTGACATGAATTATCCTTTTCTTGTGATTGATTAGAGATGGCTGTCTCACCTGTTTTGAGGCAGTATCACTTGATATTGCTTTAATCAAGTGATGGACTTGTTTGATGGACAATTACTGTTTCTTTCTTTATTCAGGCAGTTTTAAACTAAGTGCTGAAATGGTTCCTACTCACTCTGACTCCAGTGAGCTTATGGGTAGTATTTCAGTGTATTTCCAGGCATAATGACTTGAGTTAATGACTGCCTTTTTAAGTAAAATTATGGTTTTGAAATTTCATGGAATTTGAAGGCATCCAGTGGTTGATCAGTAGAGAGCAGGTATGAAGAAGCCTCTGGAAATTGTTCTGTATTTCTGCAGAGTTATCTGATCTGCATATGTGCCAGATGCAACAGTAACTTTCACGTGTGCTAACCTGTCAACTTTTATTTATTTATTATCAAATTTATACACCGCCCTCCCAGCCAAGGCCGGCTCAGGGCAGCTTACAGAAAAAGTAAAACACACAGTAGGTAATTTAAATAATCCTAAAACCATATAAAACAATTCCAGCATTAAGAGGTGCTAACCATTGGTGATATTAATAAATTATTAGAAGATTAACTAAATTAAATTTAAAGTTAAAATTAAGATGGCGGTCAACCTTCAGTATACCATCTTAGTGGTTGACCCAGATATAACATTGTGCAGCTGGCACAGACTGTTTTGATGACTTTAGGGAGCATGGTTCTCCCTTGGGGTGACTCCTAATCGAAAGCCTGGTGGAAGAGCTCCATCTTGCAGGCCCTGCAGAGTTGGATAAGGTCCCGCAGGGCTCTGATCTCTTCTGGGAGCTCATTTCACCAGAGAGGATCCGCCACCAAGAAAGCCCTAGCCCTGGTTATAGCCAGCCTGGCGTCCTTTGGTCCAGGGAGGGTCAGTCGATTTTGGGACCCTGATTGCAGTGCTCTCTGGGGAACATGTGGGGAAAGGTGGTCCCTCAGGTATGTAGGTCCCTGACCATAAAGGGCTTTAAAAGTAAGAACCAGCACCTTGAAGTGAATTCAGTTTGCTATCGGTAGCCAGTGCAATGCCTTTAGCACAGGCTGAATGTGCTCCCGCATTGGGAGGCCCATTAAAAGCCTGGCTGCAGCATTTTGCACCAGCTGTAGCTTCCAGATTTGCGACAAGGGCAGCCCCATGTAGAGAGCATTACAGTAGTCCAATCTTGAGGTGACCATTGCATGGATCACTGTTGCCAAGTTGTTGCGTTCAAGGAAGGGAACCAGCTGCCTAATCAGCTCTGTAGTCTGTTGTATGGCCTTAATTGGATTGGGAAGGGCTCAGAAATGTGGCAGAATGTGCCATGTATATTTCATAAACACTATTACGTCTAAAAATCACTGGATGTGGGATGTACTGCTTCAGGCTGCAGGTGGTGGTGGGGTAGAAACATCACTGAATCCTTCTCCATACAAAGTGTTCTTCTCTTAGGTATGCCAGTTTTCTGTGTCCAGATAAGATTTTGTATGGAGGAGCACTCAGGTGTACAAGCTTCCCCAACCTGCAGGCTGAAGTGGTACAGAGCTTCACCAATTTGTACTGGCAGGGAGAGTATGGGGTTTATGTTAAAAGAAAAAAAAAAAAACTGAAGTTGCAGGGTGTGGAAATGGGTCCTCCCCCTCCCTCCCCCCCCCCCGGTGCTCTTTTGCTTTGTGTATTTTTTTTCTCCATGTCCAGCTCCAGTGCTATGAGATCAGGCGGGGCAGGGGCAGAGTTTCTTTCCTTCTCCCATGCACTTGTTTCAATTAAAAGTAGAAACCCATGCACTGTTTTACATATGAACAGGAGGATTTATGAATAAATACATGTAGTTCATCCCAATATATCCAGTTGGGCCCTTTGTAAACAGAAATGCCTATGATTAGTAAGTACCCCTCTCCTTGTAGATTTACTTTATCAAGAACATTTTCTTTTTCAAAAGTATAACAATCTGAGCTTGGTTTTCCATTGAGCTAGATTCTGCTGTTTGTAGTGGAGTCTTTTTCAGGCTATTTGTAGCCTGTAGGTTTGCTTTCTCCCCCACAGAATGGTGGACCAGTGTACTCACACAATCAAAATAACCAGCTTTGCAAGCACAATGCAGTGGTGTGTCTTTATTGTTGTCCAAAGCATTAATAGCTGACCCGTTGCTCAGTAAGAGCTGTAGTAAGTTGCTGTGTCCATGTTCTGCTGCTAGATGCAGTGGAGTCTTTCTCCAAATGTTTCGATCATCAATATTTTTATTTTTCCCAGCCAGCAAAAGTGTTTTTACTATCTCTGTATTCCCATTAATGGCTGCATAGTGCATTGGTGTACAGCCATCCATGTCTTTGGCACCATACCTACTATTCTTACCTAACAGAGCTTTCACTGTGTTAAGATGGTTTCCTATGGCTGCAAGGTGAAGTGGGGTCTTTTTCTCTTTATCTGCTGCATTGGGATCAGCACCAGAATTGAGAAGTAGTTCCACTATAGCAGGATTTCCTGTTTCAGCAGTAAGATGCAGAGGTGTCTTGGACCACCTGTCCTTAAGATTGACATTGGCCTCATAGTGCAGTAGCTTTTGAACAATATCAACATGGCCCTTATGACTTGCCATGTGCAATGGAGTGAGTAGCTCTTTAGTGACTGCATTGATTTTAGCCCCTGCATCAATTAATAGGCCAACCAGCATTCCCTTATTGTGTAATGTAGCAACATGGAGGGGTGTTTGATCTCCTTGGCCAGCCAAGTTAGCATCCATTCCTTTGCCTAGAAGCATCTTTGCAATGGAAGAGGCTCCAGCTTGAACTGCCAGGTGCAAAGCACTGCTTGAGTTGGGAGTCTTGTCCTTCAAGCTGGCCCCCATGTCCACAAGAACCTTTGCTGACTTCGTCTTTCCCATTTCACACGCCACAAGCAAAGGTGTGTAGTGCATTTCATTGTGGGCATTTATGTCTGTACCTCTTTCAATTAAAGCAGCTACAATGCCATGCAAGTCTTTCTGTATGGCTTTATAGAGAGCTGACACCATCGTATCGGGTGATAATCCTTTGGAATAGTCCAACAATAACTTGAAAATAGATTGGTTATTGCTATTAAAGGCTGCATCAGTGATGCTGGAATCAATGTCAGCTCCAGCTTCCAGCAGGACTTTCACTGTCTTCTCAAACCCATGAGACACAGCGTAGCCCAGAGCAGTTTGTCCTTTCTCATCCTTGGTATCCACTAGAGCACCATGCTTTAAGAGTATTTTCACCAAGTTGCTGTCATCTTTGAGGGCAGCCATGTGCAGGAAATTGTGCTGGTTCTTGTATCGTCTTGCCTCTTCTCTCAGAATGCTCTTGAGAACCTGGGTGTGGTGGTTCCAATTGGCCAAATGAAGTGGTGTCTTGGCTTCTTGATTCAAGCTGTATATATCAGCACCAGCCTGGAGCAGCATTTTCACTGCTTCGTTATGACCCTTCTCAGCAGCTCTATGCAGTGGGGTTCTTCCTTCTTTATCCTTGGCATCCAGTTTGGCCCCTTTGCTGATTAAATAATCGATTATCTTGATGTGTCCATGAGCAGCTGCAATATGTAGGAGGGTTTCATTTGAGGAGTTCACTGCATTAATATCACTGTCCTTTAAAGTTTTTTCTAGCTCAGAAAGATTACCTTTAGCCACAGAATCAAAGATACAAAGAGAATCAGAATCAGTTTCTACAGGCTCTACTGCAGCTGAAACATTTTTCTGTTCGTGTTTGATTTGAACTGCTTTTTCTTGTGTAGCTAAAACCTGTCTATGGCCGTCTTTGTTCTTTTGGTGATGATCCTTTGGCTTTTGAACCCACCCTTTGTCTTTCTCAAGTAGGTACCCTATCAGTTGCCTTCTTGCATCTCTAATTCTCTCATTCACATCACTGACATAATTCCTCATGTTGTTATATAGTTGTGGCTCTATCTGTTTTAGACAGGGATAAAAAAACAACCTGCAAGCTCGCTCACCTTGAGAAATCAGGATGTCCAAAACTCGGGAGTTCTTTGCTATTCGTGTCCTGTAGTGGGATAAAGCCATTTTCTTCTCTGGTGTAAGAATGCCATTGTCTATCAGCCAGTTCACAAGGTGGTCAGGGTTGTTTATGCCTTCTGCAAGTTCATCCTTTTTAGTCCTCAGTACTTCTATGGCATATGGATTTGTGAACATGCTGGTTGAGTACATGATGTTTTTAGATTATTAAACCACAGGTAGACTAAGGATTCATTTAAAGTTCAAAGTTGACCTCAAGGAAGCAGAAACCATGATTCTGATATCTGCTGGCAGATATTGTGATAGCACTACTGGAAATTGCAAGAATTAAAACAATAAACTCTTCCCTTTTGATGTCCAGCAGTGTTGCCTTCAGATCCTCTTTTCAGTTTGCTTCACAGCCAGCAGAGTTGATGGATAAAAGAAAACAAATCAAGAACTCAGTAAAAGTATTCCAGCAAATACGTTTGCTTCAATAACATTGTGGTGGAAAGGTCTTGTTTCCAAAGTTGGTAACTAAGCTATTGATTGGGAGGAAACTTTTTTTGTTTGCCATGTGACCCATCTGTCAAACATGTCAGAAGAAAACCAGCAGGCTGGTTACTGTTGCTATGGAATTAGCCTGTGTGTAATGTTAAGATAAAACTGTATACCTTTTCTTGTTCTACAGAGGCGTTTCACCATGTTCAAGAGTTGCAGTCCTGGATTGTGAAACAAAAGCAATCCATGTAAGATAAGTGGCTAAAATGAGTTTAATGTTTACAAAAGAGTAGACCCTAAAACATTTTTGACATAACAAAGAACACTAAGAGCAAAGTTTTATTGCTGAGAAATGGCCATATTAATGACTGCAACTTGCAGTATCATGAAATAATATTTTTAAAAAGCTATGTCAATGTTGTGAAATTACAGTATTTTGAAGAAAGTCATGGTAAGTTCTGATCAGAATTAATCTGATCTTGTTCTGTTTTATTTAGTCTCTTCATGTATTACTTTTCAACTCTTAAGCATATTTGGAGGATTAGGACAATCAGATAGTAAGAATAAAAAAATACTTGCTAGGATCCCGTGAAAATTTACTTCTAATGGAAGGTGTTTCTTCCAGTGAAATGGGGTTCCCTTGCCTTCCCCCTCCTCATGCAGCCTGAATTGCTCCTCAAATTTGCTGCCTCTGAGAGATAGAAGACCCTCAGAAACACCACAAAGGGCAGACTGGGAGATCTGCAGTGGGTGGGACTGGAGAATCAATGGAAATTGCCACTGGCTGCAATAAAAACATATTAAATCATCAAAACAAAGCAGTCAGTTACAAGCAACCAAGGTACAATAAAACACAACACCTAAATGGTCTCAGAGTGAACAGCTTTTTGTGAAGGTCCTCTGGAATCCACAAGTTTTTTGTGTGTGTTGGAAGGACGAAGGAGACAGGGACAGCCACACTTCTAGGAGCACTATGTCTTACGTAACCAGAAGGCAGCAGCTGGGGGGGGAGGGAATACCCTGTCACAAGGGGCTGTGAACTTCATACCTGATAGTGCAGGCTCCTGCACAAGGTGGAATATTGTAATACTTTAGGAATTAAGACCTGTTAAAGCAACACAGCAAAGCTGTAATGAAGGTTTCTGATAAAAAGCAAATGAAATAATTTTTTTCTAGCTCAGTCATAATCTTATAATGTCAAATTAGTTTTTTAAAAATGTGTTGGATAAGCAAACTGGGGGTGGGGGAACTATTGGGATCCAGAGGAACCTTAGAGCATTTTTGTATTTGATGCTAAGAATACCTTTTATAGAACATATAAAGCAGGGTAGAAAGTAAAATAGAACATTTTAAATTGTGTGTGTGTGTGTGCTAATTCTAGTCCATGTAGTTTTTACATTTGAATTGAAGTTGCAGGAAATTAACAAAAATTGATTTAAGCATTATATACTCTGTTTTTGGCTTCAGTCTGAGAGCTTTTAACTTTCTATAAGGTACTAGCTGTTTCCCAAGTGTAGGTGGGATAATGGGCAGCAAGATTCTCCAAAATTATTTAAGTGAAGGTGAAATGTATGGGCCTTGCTTTTGATTTTAAAGTTATGGACTAAAGCATCTGAGCTTGAGAAAGAATCCCTTTTATCCCAGTTGTATCCCAATTCTCACTTCATTTAGGTTGCCTATTGGGGGAGAGGGGTTTCTGTCTGTTGTTACAGCTTGCTGGATTGAAATCATTGGGAGGTGCCTTGAGAGGTACCTTCATTCTCATCTGCAGAATGCTGCATCTTTGTCCACCATTTGTTATATAAACCAGTTCATTTCAGGGTGCTCGCTTTGTCTCTCATGGATTTGGCAAAGAAGTTAGTAGGCCCTTTGTCATGCAGGCTGTGAAGGTACAGGCAGACGAGGATTGAGGATTAGGGATGAGGTATATTCAGCCTGGCTCCTGGTACTCAGCAGATGTGAGCAGAATAACGGGTGGTTTTTTTGTTTGTTTTCTTAAAAAAATTAATACATTCCGAAAATATCAAATGTATACATGTAAAGGTAAAGGTTCCCCTGCTCGAAAGCCAGTCGAGTCCGATTCTAGGGTCGCGGTGCTCATCTCCGTTTCAAAGCCGAAGAGCCAGCGCTGTCTGAAGACGTTTCCGTGGTCATATGGCCGGCATGACTAAACGCCGAGGCGCACGGAATGCTGTTACCTTCCCACCGAAGTGGTATCTATTTATCTACTTGCAATTTCTTGCTTTCGAACTGCTAGGTTGGCAGGAGCTGGAACTAGAGACGGGAACTCACTCCGTCATGCGGCACACTCGGGTCTCGAACTGCTGAACTACCGACCTTCCACAGCCTGCAGTTCAGCGCCTTAACCACTTGAGCCACCGCAGCTCCTATATATGCAATATAAATATAACATTAAAAAGTGTTACATTAAAAATTTAAAAACTACAAACCAGCATTTTTCCTCTGCATACTTTACCATTTACCCAAGCTCTTATATCAGTATCTATAGTTCTTGGATGGTAAAAGCATAAGGTATCCTATTCATTTAATATTCCTAGAGTTTTGCATACATCTTTCCTGGATAATTATAAGTACTAGATAGCTAATTCACAAATATAGAAAAAGTTTTCAAGTATTCAGATAGATTTTTCCTTGCTGTTCTAAATAGTCTAAAATAGGATACCAAATACCTTCAAACTCTGAGTTGTGTATACCTAAACATCTGTAGTTTAAAGAATCCATTATCTTTGCCATTGTATAGTGTTCCCAGAGTTTTTTATGCCATAAAGCTATTGGGGGAGCTGCTGGGTTTTTCCAGTAATGAGCAATAGTTGTTTTAGCTATAGTTAATAAATTAACAATTATTATCCTACGTTAATATGGTTGAATTCTGTCTATCTTATCATTCAAAAGCAGCATAACTGTTAATGGTAGCCCTGACATGCTGTCATGGAGAAACAGCTGAACTTACAACTGGAAGTGTTCTTGTAAACCCATCACTTGCAAAACATTTCAAATGTTATTGCTCCCATGTAAAAGCTGTCAATCTGAAGGGCAGTTTTAACATTTGTCAACAACTCATTACATGGTTAGTGCAAAAAGTACTACCAGGTGACAGTGTACAGTGCAATGCTGTGTTTAGTGGAGTTGCTATGACTTGTCTCCATCACATGGTTGAGTTGTCTATAAATTTTGCAGTACCAGCACAGGGAAGCATTATTTTTCTGGCAACACTCATGTGATACACCGTTTGAACTGGTCCTCAGTAATATACTAATCACTTGGTTCTTCCTGGTGGGTGTAATGTGATCAGTACACCAGGTCAAGTCATTTCGTTTGTTTAGTCAAGTAATGCTGACCCAACAACTGAGCCAGTAAGACATTACCACTTGAAAGAGGGATATGTTTTTTCACTTTCATAGATGAGTGTGCTTTAGCTAATTGTTTTGTCTTTATATCTGGCTTTGAAGCTGTGGGTGCTTTGAAGCTTTATGGTTTTCTGACTGGAGATGTTTCTTAATGAATACAAGAGTTTATTTTAAAAAAATACAATGTCACCATAAAATACATTTAACATGCCCTTTTTTCCTATTGAGAAGAGCAAATGAAAATCTCTTTATTACATCAGTCTCTTGCCAAGCACAGTTTGACTTAACAAAACAGCAGAGGTCACTGTTTCTCTTCTGAGCATGTTCAGTGGCCACAGTTGGCCTATGCTTAAAACTAATTGGAGAGCTGGAACCTGTTAAAACAGCCTGCTGTATAACTGAATGATTTCCAAGACTTTCTTTACGTTCTCTGGGGCATTTGGCCTGACTTAGCAGCTGGAAGAAATGAACATAAATATATCAGTAGTGAGTGAAGTCGTGTTATTAATGTTTCCTAGCATGCATTTTAATTTCAGATTCAGCATTTGAAGCACAACACTTACTGAGACTATAACCAGCTGTATATTGAAAACATTTTGACATCTTCGTTACAAGTTGGGCATGACTAAAGCTGCATTCAGACGGACACTTTAATCCACTGTTGCCCCGCCTCTAATTAAGCCAGATTATTTTGCGCCAGAGAATCCTGACCAGACTCACCCCTTTTAGCATGCTTCAAAGCGCTTCTACTGGCCTGGGAGTGATCAGATGGCAACAGGCATGGAATCAGCCGGTCAGCCATTTTTTCAAAACGTTGGTCCTCGGAGCATGCCCACAAGCACAGATGAGCCTGCTGGGATATGTCGCTTGTGGGGCTGTCAGCCATTTTTTAAAAGTTTGCCTTCTGAGCATGCGCCCAAGTGCTTGCTGAAAATGGTGGGATATGGAGTTCACTGCCGTCCTCCCTCTAATCTTTTCAATGTATCCCTTCCCCAAAGGACAGAAAAAAGCTGAAGAACAGAGGCGTCTTTCTTTTTAGGGTTTAAAAAAAGAAAAAAAGTTTTGAGCAGCCCCTGTATGTGTGTGGGGGGGAGAGGTGCGAATAAGCAGTTGTGCACACATCGCTAATTACTTTTTCAAAAATGGCGGACGGAAAAGAAGAGACCAGTCAGAACTGCCTGATGGCTTGGGTGCGCTAGAGTGCAATCAGATAGCAGGAAATCCATTTTGGAACTAGCTTAGACCAAGAAGACGAGACTTTCTCGAGTATCAAAGAAACACGCAGCGGGGGGGAGGGGACTCGGATGACTGGGGATCGACAGACAGATGTTGCTGTCTGATGGT